TGTGTGTGGTTGGTGACACTACAAGATATGGCTGCCAACCGATGTCAGTAGCGTTCTTGTTGTCAGTTTCTGATTGCCTGAGTGAACGTCTGGAGGTATAGGCACCTCGAGATGATTGTGGTGAGCTAGCACTATGTCCCTCTCCCGTCCACCTACACTCTTTTCTTTACAATAAGGCTTTCAACTAAGTCATGGTTGTACGGCAGGGAACACTGATGTCATGCTGTCGATGATGTTGATGACGATGATGATGATGAGTACTTACTGGAGTTAAGTTGATTAAGTACGCGTCCGCGGTGTCCGTATGCCATAGAAAGATTTCACTTGGTCGCCTACTTAAAAAATATTACTAGGAAGATTTCGCGCAAATTCCCTGCTGCGCTGGTTGTTTTGATGCCCGTTTGAGGAACTTACGAGATACTTTTGACTACATGACCACGTTTGCAATGAACTCTGATATAAAAAACAGAACACACTACTCACAAGTTTGTAAATGCTCTGACAGCCCAAGGTGTTTTCTGCTTATTGAAGAGGCGAATGCGATATCTCCAGACAGTCGCGTGGCATATAAGACGTCGTAATACACTGCGTTGGTATTATACGGAAACCAGTCTCCAAATAAGCAGCGTTTGAGGGAATAAAAACTTGGCGCTCGATGTCTGTATGCCAGCATCGACAAAGATGCAAGTACCAACGAGTAAAATGGGAAGAAGTCCTGTCTGCTTGGCCTCAAGTTCTGCATCTGTTGCGGCCTTGAGCTTTGTGTAGACAAGTATGTGGCAAGCGACAGGCATAGCATATCGTGTTTCCAAGATGCCAACAAACCGGACGCGTGCAAATCTATTGCATGTCCCGTTAAAAAGGTCGTTGAACACCCTTAGGGGCATCTTGACGTTTGATGAATGTCTTAAAGCCCTTTCTAATGCTTTTATTAGGATGTGCATTCAGTTCGAGACAATCAGAAAACTGAAATTTACGCCACCTCTTAAGAACTGTTAGTCGCACGTATCATTCTTAATAAGGATGAAACGTTACAGTAATGCTCGGCTTTTCGGTTTGGGCTGCTTTAACCGTTAGAAGAAACCTTAAACACTAAACATTTCGAATGCTTGTGACTGTCAGTAAATTATCGGTAGCCCGAAAACACTAATAACTCTCAAAATCTGTCAGTCCATCATCTGAGAAGTCGTCACTCGGGGAGCTAGTCACCGCGTGACAATGTGATTTGGATTCCTTGAATGAAGGACGAGTGGTGCAACATACTCCCTACGTGAAAGCTGGTCACGCTGCTGGTCAGTCATTTATGGCCAAGTGGTTTAGTCGGAAAGTTGTTAATGCAAATCCAATTCAAGTTTATGGGAGATGCATTGCTGATGGTTATCAATAAGGATACAATTTTCTTTGGTTTCTTGGAAGAAGCTTACTTTACTTACGGGACCAGCCGTTTGGTGGTATATCGCTAGAATGGAACAGAACACCCACGATGTTCGTGTGAAAGTGAGCTAGGATGCGACTGACAGTCTAAAGGCGTCTAATTGAGACGGCAGCCTAACTGTTCTCTTTGTCTTCTGGGAAGCTAAGCAAAAGTGCTTCAAACATGGCATTTTTTTGCATGATGGGGCTAAAATGCCTAACTTCAGTGAGGTTGTTGGTGGCTCAGGTGTCAGGAGGGACACTACGATGCAAAAAACGGAGAGTAACGTGTTACTGGGAAGTCAGAACAGTCAACCTTGGAGAGCCGAACGAGATGTCACAAAGGATTTCCTTCACATAAATATGTAATGGTTGATTGTCGAAACATAATTCACTGTTCTGATACGACCGAAAAAAGCCGGAACCGTCTGTTGCGCAGTGGCAACGGCGCTGAACTCAGTCATCAGTTCCCTCGTTGGCTCACACTCTACGCTCGACAGAGCGTCGTTACTCCTGTCAGACGCACCGAATATGAATTAAGAATTAAGTAGCAAAACAATGGATGCTTGTTTATCGGAACAGTTTCCATTCTTAACAGCCCCGACAGGGATACACGAAAGGTCTGTATTTAGTGGCCTTGAAGTGAGTGCCGGAATAGATAAACGACCGAATAAATTTCCAGCATTTCATGACCTATCATGGTGGACCTCTAGGTGGTGGGCAAATGTCATCTGAATAAATATTTCAACGGCTACAATCCGTGGTTGCATAGGCATGTATTGGGGAATTTGAAAGCAGTGTGGTGAAGCGGCGGGAAATAAGGTATTTTTGCTCTTCAGAATACAATCAGCGCATGCAGTAATACTTCAGGATTGGTGTTCTTAACGCCGAACACTGTTTTATCTGGTGATAAGTCTACTAATCGAGGGTTGCCGTTTCCGTTGGCGGCATACTGTTTGTTTGCTGAGAGAGAGGGTAATGTGGAACAAGGATGACCTTGAAAATTATGTACTCATTTTTACAGTACATACTGACAGTAATGTGATTTAGCGCAGCGTATCATTCGCTGTCAAGCTTCACAAAGTACTTCATGAGCGTAGCTGAATTCGTTTGCTTGTATCTGTGTCATCCCTGACGAAAAGTACATCTTATTGTTGTAGAAGTAGATTATGGGCAACCATTTTAGTGGTTTGCTACAAGAAGAAGTACATTATTCATGCATCTGGTGTCAGGTGTAACTATTGATTTTCCCCTTTTCGAAGGCTGTAAAAGCTAATGAATATATTTTTGGAATTGGTTATTAAACGTATTTTGAAACATGCAAACACTGTCCATGTTGATCGCCAGTACCACTATCACGAGACAGAATTCTGTGCTTATTCAGAAGTTTTTTCAGCGGGAGAGCAAAATTCATATGCGCTGCAGACTATTTATTCCCATGTTCTGCATAGAAGAATCGACTAGATAGACTTACTTATAAAAAAGCGGATGGCAAATAAGGAACCATTAAACACTTTTTTGGATGGTTAACTAACTTTATTAAACATTATTTGCTAATAATTAGACAGTAAAATACGATACAGTTAAACAGAAAAGAGGGCATGACGTATTCACCACGCTAGAACCTAACAGTGAAGTCTGAACTCTGTGTGGTTTATGAGGAGAATGTGATAATCCACAAGGTCTTCGCTTTGTTCGCTGGATGGTAAAACATCCTAAGGGCAATTTTCAAAGACATCTTTTAGAAGAGCCAACTTTTACATGACCCAGTTTTTCTGGTGAACTTATTAAAACGTAGTCTCAGCATATCAGGGAGCTAATTAGACGGTGTGCGCAGGGTAGTTTCCATTCAAATACACAGTATCAACGAACATTTCCGAAACACTCTATCCTCAACAAGAATAACCTGAAGTGGTCTGGTCCGAATAAGAATGACTATTGACCACGCGGCAGATGTGTGTGCAGAAGAGGGTACGCGTCGACTACCAAGCTCCAGTTACTTTTATCAGTCAGTTTTTCAGAATGGTGTGTGAGTTGATCAAATAGCAATGTGCGCTGGATGGTCCAGTGCGCATTCGAACAGGGCTGTATGCACTTATCCGTTTATACACCTTGGCGACAATTCTTATCAAAAACCTGTGGCAGCAGTGCCCTTGTCCATGTGGAACAGAGTACTCAGAAGATCACTGAAAAGCTCTGAACATCCATGACCTTATTCATCCGTCTTCGGGCACACCACTTAGGCGTAGTTCCAGAGTTCCCCTCAACTATATGTTATACCTAAATCCACATTAAAAGGGATTCATGGGATACACTAACTTACAAACTTATTTGGTTTTAACAGATGACACATCTTAAGCTTTGCTGCATCTCTCGTCTGTGATATTCTCCAAATGAACAAACCTGGACAGAGGATGCATCACGTTTCAGTTGACACGATAGGCGAGATGCCGCAGTAGGTTATCTAAACAGCACCCATAAGCTTCCTGAAAACTCTTCGGCAGCCCACGACCACGTTCGTTCTCTTCTAAGCACAGCCCCCAACTTTACGCGAACCTTACTTCCCACACTGCTATATTTTGATTACCGTGTCGACTCACTGTAAAGCGGCTTTTTTGCAACTCATTCAGTTAAAGAAGCACACACTAAACGGTCGATTTAGCTGGAAATCAGTCAAGTCTTCAGTTGAAACCAGATTAGTTTGAAAGTGAGTGTAGTTTTTAAATAACGGGTCTACGAGCATTGAGTAAACGGTTTAAAGAGTTGGTTACCCGGGGTACCCGGTAAACAATGATATGAAAAATGGGATGCCCAAAACGTTTTAATTCGTCTGCACTTATGGAGGCCCAGATTGTAAAATTAAGCAAACGCTTTCGTGCATGAACTCAATTGTAATAACACCTACGCTAATTTTACTGAAAAACGAAGGGGCAACTTATGAGTAGTATGTTGTCGAAAAACAAAAGGTGATAGATCCGAAGATGGCATTTCAGTAGAGCTTTTGACATGGATGTTAACGAAGGTGTAGCATACCGGGTGGTGTGACATCTAAGAGAAAAGCAAATGCAGGTTCTAAGGTGAAAAGCACCACCAAAATTGAAAGGGAAAAAAGCCCCTTGAGGAGGCGCACGTTAATGCTCTTCTTTGGAAAAAGATATGCATTGTATCCTCTTGAAAATACCAATAAAGCTCTATGCGGTATAGAGAAATGTACAGTGCGTCGCTCTTATTTGAAGCTGTTTTCTGACAGTGCTTGCTGCAATCATTCTTTTAAAAGCATTTAAATCTAGATTTTTTGAAACCATTTCATAAGAATTTGTGTCAGGAATAAATAACGATGGAGAAGTTTGCCATTGGATGGAAAATACGCATTAAAAACACCCGGTAATTTTAGTTTATGTGAATTGCTGGTGGCTATTACAAAAAGGTGATGGTTGGATCTAAAGAATCCGTCCGGTTTACGTTCAGGTTTTTTCCAAATGTCCAAATAAGAGGATTAAAAAATTGACGACAGCATTGGACTGATATTTTTTCAGCTCAGTATGTAGGTGAACTTGAGAGACAGACAGAAAAAGTCATTTGTGGGCTGGCTGAATAGTTCAACTGTAAACGCGGAACACATACTGAACAGTACTCTACAGTGGCTATGTCCTTCTATTTTCTCGGTAAATATCCGTGACATTCTGTTCACCATAGGTGTAAAACGTTGCTTACAAAATAAAGATTAACAGGAAATAAAATCTGGCAGTTATTTCTCCTGACGTTTAGTTCAAGACAAAATCGTTTGAAATTTTGTCCAATTTGAGGTATTACAATTTAAAAGAAAGTGCAATTTGATTAAACAAAAATGAATGTGCACAAAGTTTAAGTTCTGATATGCGAGTTTTTCGTTGAATGTAATTTGCTCATTCCTTTTGTCCGATTCAAACTGTGTTCGCCTGACTACGGTTTTGCAACTTGAAAATAGATTCATATAAAATAATAACACAGTTGGAAACGGTATTTATGTTTATTCCTGTATTCCCGTGCATCTCACAGCTGGCAAGTAAGCAAAATCATTTCTCTGCCTCTCAGAATAACCCGTAGATGGCAAGTTATAATGCTCCTATAACCCTATTACAATAAGTGTCTATCATTTTGTCTTATGTGTAGGATGTAACTATTACTTCTTTCTGCTAGTACCGATAACCGAGAAAATTAAGATGGATACCAAGCGCCACTTTACAAAAAATGGAAACCACTGCACACAACAAGCTATGGGATATGGTTTACCCTATAGACCACGAAGGCTCAGAAAATCAAGGTAGTATGAACAGAATGTTCCCTTGATACATGATAGTTTGGGTTTGTTAAAATACTAAGATACTAAAGTACACAGTTGTGAACATCGTGAAAGGGGTGACCCAGAATACTTCACTTTATTACAAGACAAATGTATCGGAAAAGGCACATAATGACCACTTTATTCTACTCTCTTGAAATTCGGCTTGTACACTGTTTTGTCGGGTGACTCACCTGAAACCCGGCTGAATCTCATTTACGATGTTCTCTCTCCAAAATCAAATTTTTATGCAGATGAGTGCAAGAGACAAATTTCGTGCAATTTGCGTTCATGTAAAACACAAGGTTGACGGAAGCTTAGGGACTGCGCCCATCTGACGAGCGCCGAGACGCTTGAATTCGGTCGTGCACCGTCGAGGACATTTCGGCAGTCTCATCAGCAGTGCATTAAATCTCTGATGTGTATTGCGATATCTAAATTGTCGTGTTGACTAAAAATAAAGCAGCCTGGTGGAGAACATTTAGTTGAGTAAAATCCTCTTAAACGAACACTTCAGCTGGGTCCCAACTGGGTCTTCCGTCAAGACTAAATTGGTTTGCAGACGAGTGAATAAGTCAAATTTCTTGCAATTTAGGTTCAAGCGGAACATAAAGTGAAGGATACTTGGAAACTGCACCAACCTGATTATTCTCAAGAAAGACAAAACCAATCGTGGGTTGTCAAAGTGATTTCAGCAAACTTACGAGTTGTGCATTATGTCTCTCCCAAAATTATTCTATTTTTGCATTATCATATTTCGGCTGAGGCATGTACACTGAAAGAGGAGGGTGACAACGGGTGTCAAGCGCTCTAATCTGAATATCGGTCCACTGTTGGTCTAGTTAAAGGGTCTGAGCAAACCCTAATTTCAAAACACCTTGTCACGAAGAAGAACCAGTCCTGTTGGCCTTGTTATCTAACTATTAGCAAGAGTTCTCATGCTGCATATGGTACTTTTGTGACATCCCATTAGCATACATAAAGGTCTTTCTTTCTATTGCTGGACTGCTTTTGAATATGCGATAGTGACACTTGGTGAGCATACCAACGCTGGTTTATCAGAAATCTCCACTTCCTAGTTAACTATTGAAGACTCTCCTTGAGTAATGAACAATCCGGTGATGACTTACCAAACAGCTCTGATGAACGTAAATCCGTGAACGATGAGTAAATGGAAAGAATTATTTTACGATTAAAGCAAACATCCTAAAAGACTTTTTCGAATTGTAAGCTTGTGCGGGAAAATTTGATCTCGGTCTCCCTAGTATCATGAAATGCCCGTGACCCATTACGACAAAACCGCGAAAGGAAAGCATGAAATATAATATAGCACACACTGTTTTTGTAAACTATGTAGTTTAAAATTATAGTTTAGAACTATATAGTAAAAAATCGACTTCAGTTTCATTAAGTTTTGATCAATTCCAAAGGGTCCAAAGCGCGATCTTCATGAGGGAGGTCACCCCGATTATCTTGAAATCTGTTTCTCGAATTTCTTTGAAATTCCTTTTGGATAACTTGCTCACTGACCTGTATGATCAATTTAACCTTGTTTGGTTACGGTAGAGCCCTAAACTCAGTCATCCGGATCTTGTGTATTTGTCCAGTTGCGAATTTTTTGGGCATATTGTAAATGTACCTCAGGCAGTTGAAATTTATCTTCTCTTACGTCTTATGCAAGATTTCATATAAATCGACAACAATGAATCCTTTTCAGTAAATTTCATATCTCAGCGTGGTACGCTAATGGATGAAACACACACTTGAATCGACCCACTTGAATTCCGATACATGACCGAATCCTGAATGCTTACAGTATAAGCATGCCAGTGGTGATTTAGATTACTCAGCAGTTATGCGCGGTTAGAAATCAACAATATAAGAACGTGTAACGGGTAATCGTGAGGCGGAAACTCCTGCTCGAAAATCATACGATGTGATAGCAACTGTTCCGACAGGATATCAGTTTTTGGAGAGCTTTAACGCCTACAAAGTGAATCAATTGTTCCAAATGTCTCTAATCCTCACATCTGTCTTTTTTAACTGGCAGAAAAATTCGAAATATTTCCCGATGCGCATAAAAGCGTTCCAATTTGTCATGACCTTTCAGCAGCAGGCATACAATCCAGAGACTAGACCCACCGTGGACTGAGTGAGAGCATATGTGATTCAACTACATCATTCCTGCAAATCGCTTGGGAAGCGGAAATAAATGCCAACAGGAAGACTGCCTATAATGAGATATAATGCAACTCAGTGATCAGCTTCTGATCAGTTTCTATTGTGACTTAACTGTTCGTCGCGGTTTTAATTATCTGCAGAGTTTTGTGAGATGCGCACCGATGGTGAGTCGCAATAAGCAAGAAACTGCTGTAGAACGCTTCCCGGATCCTCAGCAGACTGACCCCACCCACATGATAAAATCTTCATTGAAAATTCTCAATATCCTCACGCTATACCAAATTTTCGTATTGGCTTTAAAATGGCGCATTTCTGCAGTAGTCTTAAAACCTGTTACCGGTGTTCTTAAATGGTGCGAGCTCTTCAGTGTATCACATAAGTGAGACTTTACCAGATAAACAGAACTGAATCAATAACTATCTGTTTTATCTCTTCCACAGATAATACTGGTGCCCCGTTGTCATTCACCTACATCTTGACTATCCGTATACGGACGAGTTTAACTTAAACAATTTATACCATGGTGCCTTTGTTTTGAATACGACGCAATTGCTGTGTTAACAGAAAAATGAATACCGGGTGAGTATTAGTTTCACACATTAAAGATCAAAGTGGTCTGCGTTTTATGTGTGTGCATTACCGTTGAATACTGAGTTTGGAGGTACCAGTCATCAAGATTATAAAGACAGTGAGGCATCAGTTGAACCAAATGTTGAATCAGTTTAGCGTCTAGGAAGTGGTTAGGATTTCCGAGTACGCTGCCAGGTACTAGGATTGACTTCCTCTCATTCGGGAAGCACATTCGCTTCGTTTTTTTCTTAGAATAAACGTTGTTTTGTTCAAAGCGCTCGTCTGTACATGTGTCTTAAAGATGGATACTTTTAGTATAACTATTTCCTTACTTGGTCCTTAAAAGCAGAGATCAACAGTCTCAGAGATTGCAGTCTAGTCTTCCTAGGTCCAAGCACTAGGCTTATTGAAGAGATGAGAACAGTATCGCCAGAGGTTCATTACTTTTCTACTGTATGTGTGCCTGTCATCAGCGTACTTCCAACAGGTTTGCCGTATTTCAAGACTTGGAGTTTTTTCTACTGATCCCTATTAGCTGATAGTAAGTTGAACTAGGCTGACTAACATGCACCTGATCCTTAACGTAGATGGACTCACCGTTTTGTGTCACGTGATCTGGTACAGCAGCATTAGTGGTCACACCACATTGCGTCCACTAATTCACCTGTGCCCTTAATCTTGAGCTAAACAAATAAATCTACCAGCCTTGATTAAGTGCAGCGTTAAAAACTCGCTAAAATAAGAACAAATTATGTTCGTACAGGATTTCGAACGAGAATATCCAGGATAGTTTCCACCAATGCGCATTGACGCAATTCACCAAGGTTACGCATCATACTTGGCACTGTTTTCGTTTCAGTTTTAGCAGAAAGTAGTTCCTGACCAGAGTTATCGGGGCAGACTGGACAAAACATTTCGCGGTTAATTTGGTTTGGTTAAATTCAAGAAACCGAGGAAACTTCTTTCAAAGGATAATAGCATTATCTCGCGGGAATATCCGTGGAACTCTGCAATTCGAAGTTGGTCTTCAGACGAATGTGAGGATCTTGTTTGCCGAAGAACTTGTTGAGCGTCTGACGTATACTAGTTTTCAACAGGACTAAGTAAACCTTTCCTGGAAGATATTTTGGGGATACTGAGCAAAATAATTCTCCTGGTAATAGCCACTAAGATAATATATACCTACCAAGAAAAACTTTCCATTCATAGAGGGGTTTTCTTCGAAAATAGTCTCGATAAGACCGACTGCTTGACTAAAAACACTGTCAGTGATAAAAAAACACATCATCGTCAGTTAGACACATGAAAATTTCGGATTGAATTTGTCCAGGATATTCAAAACAAAATCCAGATGGTCCAGAGAGTTAGTCATAACAGACGAGGTTAAGGTCATTATTCCGGTTGACAAATTAGTGAAAAATAGAATGCTTCAACATTATGGTGCATAATGATCTTGTTTTTAACCACTACTCTTGATTGACTGGTCCACAATGTACAGTCTTCGTACACGAGAGGGAAAAGTTCACAGAGTAAGCCAATTTTTGGATGGTTTGTTTGCATGACCGCGCTAGGGCAGACAAGGGCGACTGGTTGTCTGGGTCATCGGACACAGTCGTCACAACTAATCAACCGCTAAATGTTCTCCTTTATTTCGAACAAGGCTTGGAGGCAAGACGCCAGAAACTTTTGTCCAAATCTGGTATTAGTTTTATCAAGGTTGTGTGGTCACCGAGGGTTTAAAAAGATCAACTTAACCTATGTCAACCGTTCTTCCGTTTCCTACGAGCATTATCACTGAAAAAAGGCAACTAAGTGCTCGGATTATGGCATTTCCTCTATGCAGTTTAGTGGTGTCAGGCCATATTAGTAAATATGGAACAAAACCCCTTGTATGGTCTCGATGCCTTGGATGGATTTCATGAATGGTGGTAAACTTACAGTAAATGACACTGAGCTCAGAAAGGTTTATTGATTAAGCAGCGGCTATCCCGCAGAGGAAGCCTGGTAAACAGAAAGAAACGTCATCATTCTGACTTTAGTCTATCTGTTTAATTTTCATGGAAATTCCGTAGCATACAAAAAATCTAATTATTAAAACGTGATCAGTATTGTGCTCCAGGGCAGTCTGGTTACCAAAGGGAATTAAAATTACCGAGGGGCATTAGCCACACTTGTAAGAACTGGTATTTTGGTGACTTTGTATTAACGGACATAATCTCCGAAAGATCAATAGACGATAAATCAGAGGCCTGATAGTTTCATCAGCCAACCCACTGAGAACCACAGATACTTTTGACGGTAGATCAGTGTGCATCAGGCTTCAGTTATTCAAATATGGTAATCCCCCAGAGAGTCATATCAAAAGAAGACCGAAGGCGGATAGCCACACTAGATCTGTTCCATTTTATTTATGTTTGCTTTTTGCTCTGGATCTGAATCTCAGTACTTTCTGCCTTAGGAACATCAGCAGCTGGAAGAAGCATGTAGAAAGCATCGATTGCAATTCCGAACCTGGTTCTCCAACAGACATGCATAAAAATTTCATTTTATCAGCTTCTGGAGACTCATCGGTCCTCTCCAGTGGAAATCAGACGAACAAGGTCAATCATAAGCCACTGAACTCGCGTTCCTGCTACACCGAGCCAGTAACTAGTACGCGAAACTTTACCAGCCGATCAGTGCAGTCTCCGCGAACAACCCGTCCAGGTCAACATAACCACCGCCCTCATACTGCACTGTCATCATCTGATTCCAATACAACGGCACCCGAGGATTCCCCAGGTCAAGTCGACGATGTCAAGCTATTCAATCTTGAGCAAGAGGAACACGAGACTACGGGCTTGATAAACGGGGTGCCGAAAGTAGTGAAGCCATCAGCATCCGATTCGGTTGTAAACACTCTCACAAAGAAAGGACGCATCGTTGTCTGTGTCAGAAAAAGACCAAGAAATAAACGTGGTGAGTTTAAAAACAGAGCATCATAAATTGGTTTCATAGTACATTTAGTCAGCCTTTGTTTCACAAGATAATAATGATTAGTGGTAATCTTTTTCCTAGAATCCCTTGCAGTTGTCTATCCAGAAGGTGTTTAAGATTCCCTCTGTACTGAAGATACAAACACACTTGAAATTGATGGTGTAAACGATGTACGTAACTCCACTATTTGCTTAATGGGGTTGCCTTTTGGATGATATCAGGACTGTGTGACTTCAGGTGTTCAAATTATTCATTTTTCTGGATAGTACACACTCAAGTCAGCATTTATCAAGAGAAACGCATTCTGTATGGTTCTTTTAGTTTATTTTTTAAGAACAAAAACCACAGTACAAACTTAGCGAGATTCCGAAGAAGATAATAGTGTCCTTGATTAAAATCACTGGATAATCTAAGCACTTTAAGCAGAGCACAAATGTACGCCTACATCCATAACCTCAGTTTCTTTGTCAGCATTAAACTTATGGTAGAAGACTCCTCTTCTCTAATCGAATATGTACACCTGTCGTTTTCAAAATTAGTTTGTATCCGGTTAGACGCGATTGGTTACGTAACCATTAAGAGTAGAGGTGGTGACAACTAGGTAGTTGGGCGAAGTTAGATTTATTTGCTTTGGAAACTAAGAGATGGCACCTTGTTTGCATTGCCGGACTAATTTTCAAAATCAAAAGGTCCTGAAAACTTTGGGACAAAGGTTTTGCACTCATTAAATCTGAAGAAAAGCGCTTTTGGGCCATCGACATTTTTGCTTTAGAATTTTATTTTTTTAAAAACCACTTTTGGAGGAATTTGTGTAGCTGAAAACATTTGTTTTATTTGGTGACTACCAATGGCTGTGAATTAGTGGAACGAATGCTTTGACAATAAAGAGTCAACAATGTCGGTCGGGAGTTGTGGGAGAAATGCTTCGTTTCACTAAGTGAGTATTCTCCAAGACCATTGGAGAAACTTCAGAATTTCATGATCAACAATGGTTTGGTTAACAAGAGAGAATTGACGGTCTTCTGCAACCCCGTGCAGCGTCATGTTGTCATTTTATAGGAGTGGGAAATTTCGCCAGCCAAAGGGTGTCCTCAGTTAACCCCTTCCCCGGCTTTTTGCTCAAGTTGGTCTTTGTAAACACCTGAAGCAAACACCGTCCTCAATCGTCGTGCCACAGTGTTTCCCACGCGATATCGACTTACTGCCTCGCACTCAGCTCGCAGAAGCCTCTACAGCATGGAAAAGTTAAACCGACAGATTTCACTGTATTTGTTTTTACGGTTTAGTGATAACTGATAGAACCTTATGCCCTATATCTGGTATACCAGGTATGAGAGTTAATAATACTTGATACCACTGCTCATCACCATTCTGCCACCTGTAGTGACGAAACGAACGTTATCAAAAGAATCGCATAGGGACGATCAGATCTTGACCTAGAAACAAAGGTTTTGGATCCAGAAGATGAGTTCGTGAAGTTTAAACCATCGTTGTTGAGTTCAAGGGGTTGTTCTCCTTACAGCGGCTTTAGTATACGGAGATTTGGCAACTTTAGTAATTGAGGCTAATATACACTGAAAGGCAGAAAAGCTGTCTAATCCTTGTTGAAAATCATCAGCAGTGCACATCACACAGGAATCTAGGGAATCTCGAACGCTGCACCTCCCGGCTAGTCGTTTGAAGACTTAACCGTTCGCCACTAGCAGTGTTATTAGCGCTCGTTTAGGAAGGATACAGTGTCACTCATCCTTATATCACAGAAACCACACCACATGACCACGTAATGACTGGCTCCTCCAGCGATGAAAGTTTTACCACTCTCTCTTTGAGCCAGTTAAAGACTGGTGGTAGTGTGAAGAGATCTGGGGATTTTCATCCATGATTTTGTCCTGTTGAATAGTACGTTCGATACCAGGTGCAGCTGCTCGCCGCTAGTCAAACCACGGAGGATTTTGATGCTTTTTGGATGCTTGTTTCAAGCAAAGAGGATGTTTGGAGAACGCACCAGACCTGTGGCTGTTTCAGGACGCAAACTCAATCCTATGACTAGCCATTCTGGGGTTCTAGTAGTAACATCCGAATATTTAAGGTAGGTAGGAGCTTCTGAGGTCTCCAGTGTACTGTTTGGAACTATGAGTTTGAAAGTCCCATAAATAGCGATTTTCCTGCTGTTACTGGTATTTTATCTCCTTTGAACAAGTTTTGTGACGCTTCCGTCGTCTGCTTGTAAAACTTTTCAAGCATGTTCTTTATTCCACCGCATCGTTAAACAATGCCGACGACAAAAAGATGTCATTGCTAATTCTTACAGAGGCCACTCGAGACGACGAACCTGCAGCCTTGCTAAGCGGTTTGTGTTTTAGGAGAGCATGTCTACCTGTCCCGTAAACGGGAGCTGCCAGTTTCCGTATGCCGGTTTAGTAGGTCATCCGTGTGTTCTAGGTAGCCGTTGCGACAGATCTCAGCTGGGGCCCTCAAGTTAGGAGGTAACCGGGTTTTATCTGAAACAACGCATTTTCCCCAGCTGTGGTAGAATGTTGTCAATGTTAGAGGCCGGTGACTCTGGAATAAAACTGCGTTTGTCTTATTTCAGAAGGCTAGCAGCATCGCTTGTCGGGGTTTGTATGTATCCCGGGGGTTTCATCTCGCCTGAGCAGAAGATGATTGCTGGTAATTCCGTACCAGTTGCACGGTACTTGAGTTCTGTTCATAGTTATCTGACCTTCTTGGTGGCTAACAGCTATCATCATCATGGTTTAGGGGGCACTTTTCTGCAATTTCACTAAAACAAGGTTTCAATGTATATGTCATTTGTGCCCCTAAAAGCTAATATGCTGGTTTTTACATACCTAGAGTGAGACAGTTTTTAGCAGTTTGCGTGTGTGGCACATCCACGGAAACCAAAATCCCTTCTAGAGTAAGCGTAACTGGACTTGTGGACTTGCAGCTTGTCAAACAACTGCGGTTACCAAACAAAGAGCCTCTTCTGATTATTATTCCTGCAAACCTCATGCCTATATTTCCTGCAAGTTGTAACGGAGCGGATTTAGCCTCTGTTATGAATGGATCTTTCATACTTGAAAGACTTTCTCCCAACTGTTTATTTGCTGCGGATGCCGATTCTTCATGGGCGTCCGCCTTCCATGCCGTGACCTCAGCGCCACTCTACCGGTCTTTTGTGACACCCGGTGCTGATTCTGACTATACTATATACTATGGTATATGGAGGAAATTTTTCGGTGCCAAATGTGTCACGATGTTCAATAACGTCATTGTATTAGGTAAGATATCCTAAATCGCCGTATTGTCGTCGATGCTTCTTTTGGGTCATTGTATGCCGCAAAGCGAAAACCGGTTACTGACAAGATCATAGTAGTAAAAACTGGCAACTGTTGTAGGCTGTCCGTTGGAAACAGTTGTGATTTATTCTTAGCTCCCAAGTAACACTTTTCAGATGTCATATAGCAGTTGCTGATTTATCTTTACTTGATGGGATGGGAGAGCCTCCGTAACTGTGTAAAAACACATGTGCACCAGCTTCAACTACATACGTTGATAATCTAACATGCGTAAGCTCAAATTTTCAAAACTCCGTAACAATTCACGCTCGAAACTTCTAACTTAACGGTTGGAATGAACCGTCGAGAAATCGAGACAAATCGGTATGGTTAACCGGCTTGAATGCTTTGAGGCCTGGGTATGTAGAATGCACTCAACTCGCAAGCCATATAGTTCGTTTACGAACTCTTAAGAAAATGAAAGTATTCTTTGTTTCGTTAATGGCAACTAAGCAGAAAAATTCAGTCAAAATAAGAGGACATTCTAAAAGTACTTTGACGAAATGTTCGGACGGAGATATATATGTATCCAGAAAAATGCACTTCAGAACTCTGTCAGTTTAACCTACGTAGTATAACACGAGGTTGAAAACTGGAAGCGTTTTGTTTTTGTAATTGATAAGGCGGGTTTTGGTTCGTTCCTTGGTAGTTGGCTTGTAAACGTTTCGTCCCATTTTTGAGGAGACGCCATCAGATCACTGCTGAGTTGGTACTCCCTCTATTCGTGCTTGCCCTCATATACTTTTTAAAAGAGCACCGCTGATGACCAGCTCATTTTGAGTCTGACTGGTTCAAATGTGATTTTTTACATTATGACCCGTATTTCTTGCTTTTGATTTCTCCTCTACAGATTGAAATTCTCGCTTACTGTTACCTGTTCTGGGTGGTCCCTTCGTGATCCGTATTGCCTCGTAATCCGTCCTCCTTCAGTTTGATTGGTTGTTAGTGTAACTTCCAATGCAATAGTTTTCTGGCTCCAGTCCAGTTGGTCCATTTCTAACTTGCAGTTTATCTTCATGAGCCTGGATTAATACTCCTAAGGAAAATAGATGCATTTGAAGCATAAAAGGGCAGAGGTTGTCAAAAAGACCACAGACAAATCTAATGTAATCTAGTCCAAAAATACTCATGTACTCAAATCTGTTCTAAAGACTTCTACGGAATAGTTTGAACGACTAATGACTTATTTTCATAAAGGAAACTACTCACAAAGTTGCTGAAAACTCTTCAACTGCCCACGACCGTTTTCCTTTATGAAAATATACTGCGATATCTCGAATATCGTGCCAACTGAATCATGAGGCGGCCTGTGTGCAGCACATTCAGTTGGAGGACATCATAAACGAGAGGTTCAATTGAGTCTCCTGTGAAAAGACTATCAGCTTAATTCAGACTGCAATCCTATACCTCAGATAAGATGCTTTCCTCTCCAGCCTACCTCATGTGCACGTTCAGCAATTTGAAGTCCATCATTTCGGTTATTCGGACTTGCATACCGAATGAACTATGTTCATTTCGCCCACCATGAATCGACATCAGACGCCTGAAAAATAAATCATCCTTCGGAAATGTCACTTTGGCTTCAATCAGTCTGACCCATCTGCCAGTACGTCTGCGCTGGCTGTCCTATTCAATCAAGATGCT